GCACTACAACAAATAACTTTTAACGACATTAAATATTGACACAAAAAAGAGTGCTAAAATTTTTATCGACACTAGTTAAGTGTCATTAGAATCAATATCACTAAAGGCTTAAGAGACATATACAAAGAATGTCAATTGTCGTTAAAAATACATATTTAATGATAATTAAAAATTAATTACCGCTAATAATTATTTTTGTTATAGTGATATTTTTTTTAAAAAAAAATACTTTGTTATGATTATTTTTACCTTTGAAATTCTATTTTTCATACTTGCTCTAAATTATATTGAAGATTGACAAAGCACCAACAAATTTAAGCATAATTTATTAAAGCTATGTACGAAAATTAATTGCCGACAATGTAAGAAAACGACCACTAATTTTGCTTTTTTTAAAAAAATTAGTGCAAGTAATATTGACCAAGGAATTGAAGAAATGAATTTTAAATTTTTTATTAAAGTAATTAGGACAATCTATTTGGCAGGAAAAAGCTAACTAATTATTATTGGTGACAAAGCAGAAACTGTCTGATTGAAACAATTTGTAATTTTAGGATCACATAACCTCAAACTTGCCAACCTTATTCATCATTATCGTTTCCTTAATTTTGCTTTTTGCCTTTCTTTTTTGGATTTTTCTTCTTTTCGTTTGTGTCTAAATAGAATCATGTGAGAGATAATATTGAGTGAGCATTTATAATTTTTTTTAAAAAATTAAAAATGCTAGGTGTTGATGCATTGTGAGTTCAAGCAAAGAATTATTAAAAGCACTTATTATAATCAAATAGCTTTTGTATTAAAGTAAAACTAATAACAACATCTTTCATGATTAGGAATCATGGAGGGTACGATTTAAAAAGGCTTTGAATAAAAGAAATTATTTTTAATAAATGATTAATTAAAATAACGTTAACTATATAATAAGATGTATAATGATAAAACTAAAAGAACATAGATAAAATTTATTTTGGACAGGATCGGATATGCACATAATGTTACGGGAAGAAATATTTTCTAATTTAACTTATGAATTGAAATACATACATGTAAGACCAAACCTCTTCATTCAATGGGCCCTTAAAGTATAATAAAACTACCAAATTGAGTTTGGTATCGATCATTTTAGAGTCTAAATACATATAGTAAGACATTCATGTTTAATAGGCATATCTATATAGAACTTGATGAATTTTCAACATAAATGAAGATAAATCCATATAACTAAACGACCCTTAATTAAATCAGTTGATTTAACTTCACATGATTATTAATTTTGTCAATGTGGGGACTATTTGGGAGACAAATTGATGAGTTGGGAGGGGGCATATGTGTCAAAGCAATTAATTACTCTTTCGTCCCAGAATTAGATAAAATTAATTTTTATTTTTATTTAATCTTTAGTGTTAATTTTTCTTGAAATATGTCACTAACTATGAAATGTTATATTGAGATTTAAGAGAGTTTCGTCGTTTAAAGTGTCATTCGCGCAGGCAATCGGATCAAATCGAGTCAGAAAGACTTTGATGATTCAAAGTTCATATTAAGGAATGGAGGGTAAGGGGAAGCGGGAGTTAAATTAGGTTTTACGCCTAACTCACACCCTAAAAGCTAGCTCAAAGGGAGGAGGATTGCCCAAGCCTTATATAAGGAGTCTACCCAACTCATTAACCACCGATTTGTTATTCTTTAATAGAGGGGGCAGCCCTCGACCTGATCATCCAATTCGCTCCACCAGACAAGCATAATTTTGTAGTTAAATTAAAGTAACTTTGTCACTTTCGTGTACCCATAGTTTTTATTTAAATACAAATGAAAAGTAAATCTAGCTAATTTTTGAAAGAATTAAATATATTTTCACTATAAATAATTAGAGACACCAGAAATAGTTTAATCAGAACACAATCCATAGATGGCAAGACAATGTTTTTTGATAAACAGTATTATATCAAAATTGCATTTAATAAATTAGCTTAGTAAGAGGGACATCATTCATTCCAGCAGGTTCGATATGTCCACTTTTTAGCCAATTGGGACATAAAGATCGATATATATATTATAACATATTTCTATAATAATTTATTGTGAAGTCTACACTAAATTTGGTTGGGAGGGTGGGGATAACCTCTTTTCTGATTAGTCATGTCTTGTTCTTTTGGCAAAATTGATGGAAATTTTAATGGAAATTTGCCATCAGACTGAGGGACAAGATAGGCAAAGAAGCCAAGCAAGGTGTCAAGTCTTAAATAAAAGCTTCTTTGCTAATAGGCTACTATTACTAGATAGATCACCATCTTCAAATGTGAGTTCTAAAAATAAAAAAAAATTCTTGACAGAGAATGTTGCTTCTCTCATGAATGGCCTTACTTGATGTGAATCGTGATTAATCAGACCATCAAGTTTCAAACGTCAAGTTTGTGAATAACGTATGAGGCTCTTTTCTATTTCAATATCAATAATATAGCAACATAAAAAGAACGATATATGGAGCATTAGAGTGTGATGTTTAAAAATAATTGGAGTCCTCTAATTGTATGTATGTGACACTTCTTTAAGTTGTTAAAAGAGGATTAAAATTGACAAATCAAGAGAATTAGAAAGAGATTATAATTAAATGGGACTTATCATTGGATGAATATTATAACAAATTAAAGATTTCCAAATCTCTTATTGGCATGTAGGTAGTAATTAGTAGGGATAAAATAAAGTTATGACTGTTCCAACACGTGGCTCTAAACTCCTGTATGTCTCCTTCAGACAAAAAATCACATGGAAAGGTTTTTATAATTGACAACAAATCACTTGTAAATAGTGTTTAAGTTGGTAGTACCTTCTTTTTTTAACCTCCTAGCTTAGTTTTCATGGTTGCTTTAATTCCCCTAATGATTGTTTAAGTGAATATAGATCTGATCCTAATCATTGTTTAAGAGAATACTTTTGATCCACTATCATTTCATAATTATTAATTAAGTGCTCCTTTCCATGTCATTTTACTTTGTCCTAATAGTATAAAAAAATGCTTAATTTTTATTGGTCTATTTTAGTATATCAAGGGAATGGTATTAACAAGATTAGAATTCCAAAGCATAATTAAATAATACTCCCTCTTCACTTTTACTTGTCACTTATTCTTAAAATAAATTTTCATTTATGTTTATAATTTTTAACGTATTAAAAAAAATATCTTTTTTTCATATTTTACCCTTACCAATAAATACTTAATTTTCAATATATCATTTAATAGGGGATAGTCTGGTAAATACATATATTGATAATTATTTTTTAATGGTATGCCAAGTTAAAGCGAACGGTGGAAGTACTAATTTAGTTAAATGCAGTCAAAGTGTGACAACTAAAAATGAATGAAGAAATTACTATATACTTCCCGTCCAACAATAATTGTTCACTATATCAAAAATAGTTATCAAACAATACTTATTCAATTTTAAAAATCAAAAAATAATTACAACAAGCATAGCAAGTAACAACGGACAACTAGTGTGAAATAGAAGTATTTTATTATAAAATTTAAAAGAATATTTGTAAAATAAAATGAAACGGAGAACGCATAAATATATATAGAGAAAGAGAGATATAGTAAGAGTAATTAAGTGATCAAGGTAACAGGTTGGTCCTAGCTAGGTGTTTCTGGAATATTGACTATATCATATATGGAGATGCATGCACTAATATAATTAGTAGGGTTAAAGTCAGAGTATATGCTTTTTCCCTCCAGATCAAGATGGGATGCAGTCTTGTCAATATTATTTCATTGTTCTGAAAATAAATATATACAGTAAGAAAAAAGTAGTGGGATTTATCTGTCCTTACTCCTTAATCTCAATTAGAAAATATTTATTTAGAAACTTAATATAGTTCTAAATGAATCATAATAAATTCATAAAAGGTAAGTCAATTATTTTAATTTAATTTTTAAATAAGAAAATACAATATACATTTTTCTGAACACACACAGAGAGTATATATGATATACATAAATTGGTATAAATAGAGTAGTCTGTTTTTTTACTTATACGGTTACGTTTCATTTTATATGATACTATATATTTATTTTTTGTTAGTCTGGTCAAAATTGAAAACCTTATTTATATATAAGTAAATTTTATGTACGCTTATACAACTGTTACACCATGAGATAATTTTAGAGGTAAATAAAATAACTTGGTCAAATAATATTAATTGTTTTACCTGTTTAATGAAGTACTAGTATTTTACTGAAGAGTAAATACTAGTATCAATATTAAAAGGAACGTTGAACCCTAATATGGGAAACAAAAAAAAAGGTTTGGATCTTACTTTTCACTCTTTAAATCATACAAAATGACATGTAATAAAGTTGTTTTTAAATGGGTCATAATATGCTCTATCCTATGCCTTTTTAAAATTTAAATTGGTGAGAAAAAAAAATTCACAACAATTCAATCATAAATGCATAGTAACTAAATTGTTTTGTGAATAATAAATTTTGCCACTGCAATAGTACTAGTACTAGAAAAAACAGTAATAATTTGACCAAGTGTTTTCTCCAAGATGAAAGGCACAGTAGATCCGTTAAGATAGAGCTATCCTAGCCAGGGTTAATGTTAGCCTAACACACAAAGATTCCATAGTACAACCCTAGATATGAAAACAACTATCTCTCCATCTTTTGTGCTCACCAATCATCTCAATCCCAAAGCAACACATTAAATACTACTATTGCTACTACAAATGTAAACATATCCAATTGTAGGGTATACAAAGTAACATGTTGGTTAAAAAATTATATTTTTTTTATTTATAAAGTCAATATTAGTAATTTTTTATGTTTTGAATTGTTTTAGTGAAATATTTTGTCTCCATCAATGATCGTAATAAAATAAAAAATAAAAATAACATTATCTTAATTAAAATTTACATCGAAAAGTTTCACATGAAATAAGATATCCCTGATTTACTCAGAAAAATGCAAATATAAGACTTTTGATGATACTAGAAGAAGATGGTAATAATACAAAGCAACAATCATATTATCATAACTAAGTACACATGGTAATAATACAACAAGAAAGATGTAAAAGAAAAATTACATTTTTTTCTCTAATCTAGCTAAGCTAGGGTTTTAACCACCCACCCACCACCATCATCACATGGCTCTAGGAAGTTTTGCTTTCAATAGATTTTTAGTAATTATATAAGTCAAATATTCAAAAATATGTGTCTCAAATAATTCTGCCTGCAGCTAGCTGATGACTTCTAAGTACTCTTTTGGCTTCCACTCATTTACTTCCCAGCCTTGATAATAGGGTGATTTTACAATATAATCCTCCATGCACAAGTTATTATATACTAGAGGCTTAGCTAGTTATAGTCAGGTTTAATGGATCTCCCTGCACAAATTAACAAAAATAATTATCAGCTTTAATTATTATTTCTAGATAAATTAAAATGTTTTCTGATTTTCTTAAAAATATTTTTTTAGCACTTGATAGATAGCTCACCAAATGTAGTGTAGGGCAGGACAGTAGGGGCCTGGTGTTATATTAATGGAAAGAACAAAAGTTGTTGCTAAATCCAGACTGATTTATTATTTTTTGTGTTTGCTCATCTGCACCCCATAAGAGCTGTCCAATACCCTGAAAAAAAAATATTACTTTTCCATGTTAGAAAATTTCACATCATGTATATTACCTACCTTTATACTATTTATCAATCATATCCTACGGTATTTTTTCTATGTACCGGACGTTTATAAGATAATTACATGTAAATCTTCGATAACCTGATAAAAATAATAACTAATTAACCTTAGTAATAATGTGTCATCAAAATGTTTGATATCAATTCCATCATTATTAGGTGTTTGTCTATGTGTGATTATGAATAGATAATGACAACAAGTAGATTCAATGAATATGTAATACCTGAGGAATAGAATTAGGGAAATGGGATTGTTGAAACATGAGTGATGTTGAATTATCCAAAAATTGGTAGCCACTATTAGTGTTAGCAATAACTTCAGCTGCCTGTGATGTAGTAGTTGTGCTACCTTGCTGAATATTTGCCATTTGTGTCTCCAAGCCACTTAAACTCTGAAAAGGAAAATCATAAAAAATGAATTTGATTAATGATAAAGTCGAAATTTAAAAAAATTCAAGTTCTGAATATATGATTAAACGCTAGCTTACCTGGTCATCAGGTCTGACCATGAGTGCATCTAAGTCCATTCCAAAGTCATAGTACATTGGATTCAAAGAAGTAAGTTTCATTGAGAGAAACTGAAACATGAGAAACACATAATATAATTAGTATTAATATTTTATAATTATGCAAGTTAAAATATAAAGGAAGTTATTAATTGATTGTTCTCTTGTTTAATACCTCAACTTGGTTTTGCAAAGATTGGACATAATTAATTATCTCATCCAACATAAGGGCCTTTCCAGTTACCTGATCTCATTCAAGTCACATGAAAATTGTCAGAAGAATTATAATTTAAAAGATTTTTAAATACTAATTTCTTGAAAAGTGCCTTTCAATTGTACTACATGGAAAGACAAATAAAAGACAAAATTTTTTTACTGAATTAACTTTGTCATTTACCTTGTCACAACCAGGAACAAGAGATTGCAATATCTTCATCCTTTCACTTATTTTCTCTCTCCTCACCTGAAATCATATCACAAGCTAAACAGTGAAAAAACTGTTCCACAACAATAATAGGTTTACCGGACACCGACGATTATGATGGAGTGGTAAATATTAAATTAATTGTCGATTCATTTTTAGTAAGAAGTATTTAGTTCGTATGTGTTATTTTTCAACATGAATTTAAATTTAGTTGTTTCAATTTTCACACCACATTATAAATTTTAGTATCCGTTCCATTTCTATTTATAACTTATTTTTCTTTTTAGTTAGTGTTTTTGAAATGACATATAACTATATTAAATAATAATTTAACTTTATTTTTTTATTATTAATGAAATAATATATAATCATACAAATAATATTTTTTTCTTAAAACTCCGTATCAAATCGAACCGAGGGACCAATAGTTAAAAGGGGCAAAAAGTAGAATTATACCCTTTCAGCAAGACTATGGCTATCAGTTGCCTGGCCCCTTCTTGCTCTAACATGAATGTACCCTGTTGGTGCTTCTTCATTAGCTTTCTTTTCATCTTTGGCTACTAACTTGCTGATAATTTTCTTCTTTTTCCCATTATCACCCTGTTTCTCATTCTAATAATAAAAACAAAAAACAAAAAAACAGAGTAATCATTAATCCCAATTCCAAGAAAATGAATAATTTACAGAACAGAAATGGAAAATTCCAAATTACCTTAGAATGAGCAGAAGTCATAGAAGAAGACCCTTCACTAGATTTTCTTTTCTTATCCAAAGGACTAACATTAGCCTTATTATTATTAATTCCACTTTCAATTTTATCAGTAACAGAGGAAGCATCCATATCTAAGCTTATACTGCTGCTACTTTTAGGGTCAAGGCAAAAGCTATTTTCATGAGAAATTAAATTGGAAGGGAATTCTTGTTGGTAAAACTGTTGTACTATACAAGAATTGTTTGGTTCCTCAAAAAAGCCAGACATTTTAATAGGAGAAGTTGGCAAAAATACTGAATCAAGAAGAAATGGGTTATTGTGTTGTAATTGGTGTGATGAAAAAGCAGCCATCTTTTTTTTTTTTTAGTTTTGTGATTTGCTTTGGAATTCTCAATGAAAAAAAAACAGAGGAAGTAAGAGATAATAATGGGTCTGAGAAAATCTCAAAGGGTCAGGTTTATATAAAGATGAAGAGAGAGATAGGACATGATTTTATTTTATTTTAGCTAAAAATTGGATTTTTTTAATTTTTTATTTTCTAGCTTATTCCTATGCATTTGACTAGTCTTATCAAAGCTTGGGGGTGAGTGTGGGCTCATTTAAGTTTGCTGGTAGCTTATATCTATAGACAATTCTCTGTTTATAAAAACAAATAATGAAATTTATGTTTAAGATATTAAATAATTAAGTAGATAATGAGTATGAATAAGCCACTATAGAGAAGAGATTTTTGAATTTGAGTGTTTTAGTTCTGATACATAATCAATCCTATTAGTTTTGTTTATTATTAAAATAAATTAAATTTTATTAAATATTTTTACTTCTCCATCGGGCATGGAGAAAACTCCAAGAATTATCCTGGGGTTATATCGGTATTTTTTAGATCAATTTCGTTGATTTTTACGCCAATATGATATATTTCTATATGATCAAAATTTGATTAGATTTTAATATGAGTATCGAGTATATAAATAGAAAACTAAAAATGATAATGATATTAGAATAATAGTAGCAGAGATTTATAAACGGGACTATAGCAACAGTTCGAGAGATGAAAATGGTGTAAAAAAAATGAATGAAGGTAATTAGATAAAATATGATATAATTTCAGCTTACTGGTAACATGATCCTAAAAAGAAAGCTATGAACGTTTAAGATTAGAATAAAGATTGTAGTAGATAATCTAGTGTTGTTGCATATTTTGTAGGAGGGGTTGTTTGGTGTGATGAATAAAGAAAAATAATATTGAGATATGTATAAAAGCTTTACTCAATTCTTTTGTCTGGTTACAAAGTGTAAGATAATGTATTTAAAGATTAATAATTATGACTAGGATTTATTATCCTTACTTATGGGTGAAATACTAATCGTGAGACAACTTATTCCGTGATTAATAATTATGGCTGGGATATATAATCTCTATTTTTGGGTGAAATATTAATCCTCGAATAACTTATTCCAATATAAAAATGTAAAATAACAAATTTGTTAATATCCCCCTTAAATCCTCTTTTATAAACAAACAACTTATTCTTAGAGGATATTTTTGTAAACAACAACTTATTATGTATGTCATACATGTTTTATAAACCAATTAATTAATAAAAAATAATATTAACATAACTAATTTGATCATAATTTATCTCAATATAACTCATTCTATCATAATTAATCTCAACATAACTTGTCTTTAAGTCGAAGACCCCTTAGTAGTGACACATTCTTCTATTTTCATTAGGTATTACTATTTGTTGTTTTATTTGCTTTATATCATGTCTTCTTTTGTGTGTCGAAAACTTTTCTTTTAAATCCGAAAGCCTAATAAAAATAATATATATTCCTACCCGACACAATAGGTATAAGTTGCATCCATCCTGTGCTTCTCAAGTGTTAAAAATTCAACAAGATTGGGACCTAAAGCCAGCTTCATAAAGAGGTCTTACTTTTTTTCCTTCTTATTACATATATAAATTGACGACCATCATATACTCAGTATAATTCTAGGAGTGATATTTATGGAAGACAAAATATATGCAAACCTTATGAAATAAGAACAAAGAATATAAATTTTCAATCAAAATGTATAGTATATAGTTAAAATAATAAAATCAAACTCAAGAATTTAAAAAGATGACATAATGAATATAAAAAAAAAGTGTTACACTAAATTTAATTCGTAGATATAACGATATTGAAATAGTATTAATTTGTCAAGTTGACCTTGCTTGTTGGTGATGAAGATGAGTGTATTATTGTTGTTGTTACTTGTTTGTGTTAAAATTTCGTAATACATGCATGACACACCCCAATTATATTGAAAATGTCAGTTGCTTTTTTTGGTCTTCCGTTGAATGACTCTTTCTCATCAGTGAATCAGAGATGCAAACACTGAGATATGATGATTCAACTTTCAAGTCAGTTGTTTTTATGTATCTAAAAATATGACAATTCACAAGAGTTGAAACGTAAATAAAAACATCTATTCATTGCTGCCATTAATTGTTACTTGTGTTTCTCATCTTTTAATTATTATTGTACTCATCACAAACCCCTATAGTTGAGTCTAATATTTCTAGCATTAGTTTTGTCATGGCCCATTCTAAAATAGCTTACTATATTCTTGATTAAAGCAAAAGTGGAATTTTGCATTATTATACCATAATTAGTACTCTAATAATACAGGTATGAATGATTCTATCCTTAAAAAAAAATTAAATTAATAATCTTTATGATTAAAATCGAGCATGACATATGGACGAATCAAGAAGTGATATGTGGCAACAAAAATAGGTTGAAAGTGAATAATTAGGAGGGACAACATCAAATACTATAATTATCCTCAAAACGTGATTGAAATGGTGGCGAAAGCATGATTTTTCAAAATATAAAAAAATAGTTAAAGGAGATTTAACAATGTTACTCCCTAATTTATATTTACAAAATCAAGCTTTGCCTGGTGATGCTGCCAGCTATTAACACTAGACCTAAGGCTCATTCTATATCTGTTATCTCTTTTACATATCGATTAAGCAAGTGTAATTAGATATAAACCACATGTTTTGGTCATTTCGATCCGCATGTCTTTGTACATAAAATGTAACTTATAATTCTATACCCTAGTTTGTGAGTAAAAATTGTTAAAATAGTACTATATAAGGAAACAACTTTTTAATCATAGAAACTATGGAGAATAATTAAAAAAGAACTTCAACTATGTGAAACGAATAAATATATTCTTGCTATCAATATTTTGGTCCAAAAATATCTTTGCTCCGTTAATAGTTTGGTCAATACCTCCCTTTTTTTTCTGTCTCTATATGCCAGATGAATGTTTTGTCCTTGCAAGGATTTTGAGGACGTTATATCTTCAATATTTTTTGACCAAATTATAAGGGAAAAAGGATAGATATATATGTTGAATTATCGTAAATGGTATGCAAACCCTCTATCATACTTTTGCAGAGGTGAAAGATAGATATATATGTTGAATTATCGTAAATGGTATGCAAACCCTCTATCATACTTTTGCAGAGGTGAAGCTAGGTGGGGTTAATGGGTTCGGACGAACCCACTAGCTTTTTCGTAGATCCATATTTGTATTAGAAAATTAAATAAATATATGTTTATCAACATGTGAACCCCCAAACAAAATTGATTTAGAACGCACAAACTCCTAACTTTGGCTCTGCCTCTGTACTTTTGGGACAATGGTACCCTGCCATTCAAAAACTAGAGCATATATATATACCCTTTATACTAACGGACACATATGTGTCCTAATCTTATTCATCAAACCAATGGACAATATTGCATCACGCGTCCCTATTTAATCTTGCGTCAGAGTAAAGAATATACATGGTCTAATTTTTAGATCAACACCAACATCCCAAAAATATATAATAAAAAATATTTGCACATTATTTATAATAGTTTAAACATAAATATCTCCTTTGTCCCTGAATAAAAAAATAGTAGAGTTCACAGCATGTATAGATCCCCAATGAACATAGTTAGGTTGGGCTAACTGTTGTCTTTGTCCAGGTCCAGCCTGTTCTTGTGGCTCAGTATTCATCAGTCTTAGAACGTGAAACTACTATAGTATATATTTGATCCGACCCCCGCAATGAAGAAATATCGTACTACTATGAGTAACTTTTTGATTATTGCTACTTTCCATTTTAATTTATATAACTTTGAATAAAATTTAAATTATTTGTGTTTTTTTTTGGTTTTCCACCCGGTGTTTGGAGTTCATATTGAAGCTCCGGTTAAATTCGGATCGCGCTCTACAGGGCTAGGGGGCCTATTCGGAAGGGGTGCTCTCAACAAGATTTTCTCCATATCTAAGGCTCTAATCGGAGAACACCCTAGTACACCACAATCCATATTGATAAATTATTTGTGTATGGTCCAAAGCACTCGTTGGTAGTGCAATTATAAATAATTTCACTAAAGATAAAAAGAAAAATTTTACAATTAAATTGTTTGTCGCTGACATAGAAAGGAAATAATTTTTTAGATTAAGTTATAAAAAGAAAACTGAGTCACATGATTAAATTGAGAACAAAGAAGGTATAATGTTTATAAATTACCTTAAAAGAAAACCGACACGAGGAAAAATAGAAATATGATTATCTTTATTCTTTGAATCAATAATTTGAAAATTTGTGTATTTGAAAATTTGCACATGCAATATAATTATAATGCGTCTGTTGATATATATATTTATATAGAGCCAGCAAAGATCCAAAAATATCTAATTAGCACATTTGGAATTTGGATTATCCCTAGCACATTTGGAATTTGGATTATCCCTAATCAATTCTAATGGATTCTAAATTTCTCATTTGTGTTGATTGATAATTAATTTCAAATCATGCATCTCTACAGTCAAGTTTGGTTCCCAACAAAGTTCCAATATCTTTTGGCAACATATATAACTTTAAATCACTTATACAAAAGGGAAAATTCCAACCTGGTACTTAGCACAATTAACGCCATAAATATTAATCACCTTAATTTTAAAAAATAATTTTTTTTTGTCAAGATAATAATAATCATAAGTCATAACATAGTGCCTCTCACGGTTCTTGGAGATCCTCACTCAATATCTTCTGAGTCCAGCCTATTTTATAGGCTTTATTTATATTAGAGCCATTTCAAATTTTCACATAAATTAATTAATTTTTTTTAAAAAAAAATACTCATTTGTTTTTAAAATAAATAGTGTTTTTAACTCTAACACACCTCTTAAGAAAACTATTCATTTTTTGAAAATATGTTTTACAATCTTACCCCTTAATTAGATGTCTTGAAGAAAGAAATAGTTCTTTAATGATGTAAAACTCCATATTGTATTTAAACCAAAAGTGAGTTCTGAAAGATTTTTAAAAATATTCTTCTTGAAAACAACATTTATTAATTTTTTAGAAAAAGG